AGATATAAATCAGCAATGAATTCTGAACAAATCGAGACAATCGAACATTGTAACCTAATAAATTATAGAGACGTTAGAAAACTGAGATTCAGAAAATCATTGTTATTTCTATTGAGACTAAGACAAAATTTTAATGTTCATAGTCGATTTCTTTCGATTTATTCATTTACTATCAATAAAAATCAGACTATAGAAAAATTCATAAATGAAATATTATTAACTGTTTATCCAGATGACATCAAATTGTTAGACTTACTATCATCATAAACTTCAATTAAAGTTAATTTTTCGAGTAAAGGCATATATATTGATGAGAGAAATATAAGAAGATCGCCAAATGATATGTAACATAATTGAAGAGAATGAAGATGATTGGTGATATTCATTCCATTTTTCAGTTGCAAATTACTTTCAATATTATAGTTGAGCCATTTGTCTGGCTTCAACATGGTGACGCAAAGATGATCAAGAATGGGAAATGCACGAGAATGAAGAAGAAATAGGTCACTTGATCGTTGAATCAAGAGTGAAAGATGAACAGTACTGGGCCAATATAATTCTTGCCATTCACATGTATTTTTAGTCAAATTATCATCGATTGAACCTACTGAAAAAATCAAAAAAAAATGTCGACGATTATAACGGGTGGGGCAGAATAAATGGACCCCTCAATATTTTGTTTTTAACTCTGTTTTCTTTCAACGAGAAGACATGATTTTATTATGAAAAGATGTGCCATGAACTTCTCTACAAAACAGCCTATTTCACATTCACTCATTAGTTTTCATCGTATTTTAAAATGAAATAGATTCGCTTGACAAAATAAAGAGTACTTTCAAAAAATAACTATTTATATATTTTTTCCGATATCGTCTCATTTGCTGTTTTTCACTGTCTTTTGTTGATACCTTATTTGATTGATAATCAATCGTGATCCATCGATGTTTCAGAGCTATCTAGGCTTGTCTAATTCGATGGAATCAGTAAAGATCAAGGTCAAAATAAGGTATCAACAAAAGATAATGAGAAACGGCAAATGAGACGATATCGGAAAAAATATATAAATAGTTATTTTTTGAAAGTACTCCTTATTTTGTCAAACGAATCTATTTCATTTTAAAATACGATGAAAGCTAATGAGTGAATGTGAAATAGGCTGTTTTGTAGAGAATTTCATGGCGCATTTTTTCATAATAAAATCATGTCTTCTCATTGAAAGGAAATAGAGTTAAAAACAAAATATTGAGGGGTCCATTTATTTTGCCCCACCCGTTATGTATAATATCCAAAACAACAAGAAGAGCTCTGCTTGATTATTTTCTTGGTGAAAAGCTGTGTATATTTCATTTTTTTCTTATAAAGAGAAAAAAAAATCGAATTTTCAGTTTAACTACAAAACCATTCACTACTCACAAACTTCGAAATTCAGAAGATTTACATGGAATTGTAAAGTTATGACACTCCGTTTGGAATTTTTATTACTCTGTCTTTTCTTTTACATGCGATTCTTATATTTTTCTAAGAGACAAGGAATGTGCTATTTGAAAATTATCATCTATAACAGAGTCATTCAATTTTTATACTAATAGCTGGAAAATTCTTCTTGTAGTTACATTTCTGGTATTTTTTGTCTCACCCTAACCTACTCATTTTCTGCCTTCGCAAGTTTTTATAAAAATATCTTTATCACTCTTGATGTATAGCTGTATCTGAGGACTTTTTATGGAATCTCATTTTCAAATCCTTTCATAAAGAATTTATTGAAAGATAAAAATGTCTTGATTTTACTCTATTGAACTAATAAATGCCAAAATATTACAGCAGTTCATATTTGAAATTCTGTAAAAACTCTCATTATAAGGACTTATTATGAAATTTTGCCCTAGTGTGTATTGTCATTAGGTTCATCTAAACAAAAATTACAGCTTCTTAGATGTATATCTTCTCCAAAATATCAGATTCGGAATTGTGAGACAAAATATTTGTGTAATGTAAGATAAGTTTCGTTCAAGTTCTCTATTTCCACGTGAATGAATTGAAATATTGTGAACATTTTTATTTATCTCAGTTTTTGCGAAAACCTATATTAGTCAGAATATCATGTCAAAAGTTTAAGTATAGATTGAGATTATGGAATGGACATAAATTCGATAGATCAATGAAAAATGACGGAATGCAATGTGCTTTTGAACTTTGGTAATATCTCACTGAGATTCAATTAAATGAAGAGCTGCAAAATTCTGACTATCAAAAGGAATTTTCATTTGTATATAAACAAAATTGAGATTGGAAATGATATTCATTAAAAATTGTATAAAGAACTTCTCATAAGTGA